TACTTATTGCAGGTTGAAGTTTTACAAGTTGACTTCAAGGATCTTTTTGTACAATTTTTGCCATTTTTGCACTTCGAATATTATACAAAATTTTTTGTACATAATGAGCTGTTATAGAAATACATAGTTTAGTGTGTGTAGTTTTATAATCAATTTAAAATTAATTGAAATCATTTTTTTTTAATAGTTATTACTTAAGTCAAGTGTATACTCTTTAAATATACCTAAGTTCATTTTAAAAGCTATTTTTTACTATTAGGTTCAATATTTAAATTCTGAAAGCATTAAACAAAGTTAGGAATTATTATTCATTTAAAAAATACAAGAAATACATAAAATGGCAAAAATTGTACAAAAAGATCCTTGAAGTCAACTTGTAAAACTTCAACCTGCAATAAGTAAGTGCTATATATCGTTATATTATATTTTATAATGTTTGCAAACCAATCCAAGCCAGTTATTATTGTACAACTTAGATCCAAGATACCTTTTCAAAAAAGTTGATTACAATTTGAACAATTAGTTAATGATAAAAAAAAATATAATGTTAGAATTTTTTTTTCTTATCATGTAGAATTTATTTACAAAATTTATTTTATTTTTGGCAGGTCATTTAGAGTTCAAAGAATGTATGATTATTAAATAATAAATTTCAATTTTATTTTATTATTATTAGTGAAATCTTCTAAGCATTCACCAGCAAGCATATTACCTTATGTTTTTTCTAAGTTGGTTCAATCATATAAGCATCTTAAATTAGTTGATTGTTGTACTAATATAACTCGACATGCAAATACTAAAAAAATAAAAACAGACTTTCTCAATATAATATATACTTTCCTGAGTTAGTTGAAATTCAAACACACTTAGAAGACTTTGCTTTATGTTAACAACATTATAATCATCTCATAGCTTCTAATTATTATTATCAGGCCTCTTAAATTCAAACAGTCAACGAAGCAGCTCAAAATGGCAAATTAAGAGTCATGATATTGAAATGGAATTTGTTGAAAAACAATTTTGTGAAGTTGGTATACAGATTGAAAAACAATATTGTGAGGTTGGTGTACAAACATCTGAATCTGTAATTCAAAACCTTAAAAATTATATATATTTACTTCAAGAGCAATTAAATAAAAAATAAATGAAATAGAAGATTTTTGAAAACATTTAGATTATATATATGATTATGTAGTTGAAAGTTGGGAATACGATCAAAAAATATATAAATTAAGTCAAGAATTGATTGAACAAAATAATGATTTATTATTAAAATGGAAAAATCGATTTAGTACCCAAGAAAAAAAAGAATTGATTCAATTGTTCAAATTGCAAATAAAGAATATCAAAATGTTTACAATGATATTAACTTATTAATTTTAAATAGAGAACAATTTTTCTTAATAATTTGTTAAACTTTATATCAAATAATTGGTTAACTAATCATAACCCA